GGAGTGATGACGTCATGTGTGATTGGTAATGGGTAAGAGGAGTGATGACGTCATGTGTGATTGGTAATGAGTAAGAGGAGTGATGACGTCATGTGTGATTGGTAATGAGTAAGAGGAGTGATGACGTCATGTGTGATTGGTAATGAGTAATTGGAGTGATGACGTCATGTGTGATTAGCAATGATGTAATAAAGTTATGATGCATTATGTGACCGAATGTTATGTGAAGAAGTGTAATGAATAGCTTGGAAATCCTGTGAATTATAGATATGGCTGTCAAGTATTTTAAGGAAAAATGAGAAACGTTTATTATTTATCGTTAGTTATTTGAGAAGAATAGGATAATTGTCACAGTAAATAACGAGAAAGTAATTAATTATATAACATATTTATTTTATAATTAATTACATAACATCTTTATTATATACTTAATTATATAACATCTTTATTATATAGTTAATTATATAACATCTTTAATATATAATTACTTATATAACATCTTTATTATATAATTAATTATATAACAGTCGTAGACTACGGAGCCAACGTGACCCTGAAGAGCAGCGTCGCCATGTCAGGGTACTTGGAGTCCTGGTACGACCTGTACCCTTCTACCATCACCGCACCCTGCCAGCAGGTCACCCTAGCCTCCATCAAGGATATGGAGACCATCACCTGGTACGTGGTACTCCTTATGTGGTACGTGGTAGTTGGTACTTGGTAAGTGGTTTGTGGTATATTGTACGTGGAACTTAGCATGTGGTACACGGTTGTGGTGCGTGGTGCGTGGTAGTTGGTACTTGGTAAGTGGTTCGTGGTATATTGTACGTGGAACTTGGCATGTGGTACACGGTTCATGTGTAATTGGTACGTGGCAAATGGTATGATGTACTTCGAAATAAAGAAAATTTTTATACACGTAGTGATGCCCATTTGGCCCAGTAAAAGGGCGTATCAGTGTTACGTATAGATTTTGTGCCGGTATTTGGTCAATATGACGTATTTATTCCTCTGAGTGCTACCTGAGTACAATTTTTAGTGGTTGAAATTGGTTTAAATTTTTTAAGATCTAATCCTTTTTATGTGGCATATTTAATAAGTTCATCTTAAAAATATGAATTGTATGCCATTTGCATAAAACTTCACAGGACGTTGCGGTATGTGAACATCACGGCGGGGTCCGTGGAGGGGGGGTCCGCAGGTGACGGGGTGGGGGGGCGGCGGGTGGTCCGTAGTGGGGACTACGTGGCCCTCACCCACCGGGACACGGGCCGGTCCCTGCGCTCCCACGGGCACCGCGCCCCCGTCACCCGCAGGCACTTCCAGGTCTGCGGCTACGGGGATGTGAGTCAACGCAATTTTTTTTATTTTTAATTTTAAGACTCAATATTTCAAATTTTTCAAGTCCACAAACTATTTTGAATACATTTGAAAACTTTTTTAGATTTCGAAAGTATCTGCTTATTTTTTATGATTTAACTTTTGTACTCATGGCTATAGGTAATTGATCTAACTAATGAGTCTGACCATATCCATTAAATTGAACAATAGACAATAGTGAACATTTGCGTACTATTTCTTTTGACTACCCTAAAACCAGTGGGAGTTTCCTCGAAGAAAAAGTTACATTTTTTCTGAAAATATCTCTCCCTAGAATTAAGAGGTTTTCATTTATACCAATATTATAATTATCCTCACGACATAAATGCACAATTTTCTCTTTAAATTTCTTGGTCATTTCATAATCACTGATAATGGAGAGGTTCAGAGCACGGGACATAGTAACACAAATATCACTGTTCAGGTTCTACAGGATTTGGCACAAATTAATAAGGAACTGGACAAGAAATTCCAGTGGAATTTCTTAGTTTCAAAGCACTTAGTTTCTTAGTCTTAGTTAATCATTTTATCGGTTCCCATTCTTACATGTGTCTATTTATTTTTCGCTTGCTATTAATCTTATGTGTAGCGCGCTCCCGAAGTTCGTTTGAACCAGACGCCGCGATAAATGCTTCGTAGAATAATAATAATAATGATAGTGGACTGGAAAGTCCAGTGTTCCGAAAAGCCACATTAGCAGCACCGAGATGAGAGAAGCAGGTTGTGGGTTCGAGCCTTGGGAAGCTCAGTCTAATGGTTCACGGTGACCCTGATAGTCGTTACTGATAGTCGTCGAAGGTGGTGTTTCAGCATTACCGTGAATGGTGCCCCAAAACGAACTCTTTGTATCTCTCAGCTTTGTAATCATAAGGTCCATTAAACTAGTGCATGATCCATTAACCGAAATCGATAGTATTTATGACCGCCATGGGGATGTTATACTGTGCTATATTTAGCGAAATCACCGTATTTCCACCCACCCTCCGCCAGGACTATGAGGTGGGTCCATTCGAGACTTGGCAAATCGTGATACCAGGGGCAGCTGAGGGGGATCCACTCAACCCACTCACGTCAGAGTTCATGTTAAAACATTACAAGATGAACTGCTACCTTGCCAACCCCGACAACACTCCACTACCAGCTGACTGGTGGGGCAATAGAGAAATATAACAGTTAGACATTATACTTTAAACGATACATCATTTCTTGTACATAAAACCACTTGTTTGGGCTATCAATTGTCAACCATCCCACTACCGTCAGACTGGTGTGACTGTTAAACAATATGATAGTTGAATATTGTATTCATTTTTATAATAAATTTTTGTGGGTACTCAAACCATATTTTCGCGAAGTCCTTCGTTAACCTCGACGACATCCCACATTATCATACAATAATGTTTATCTTGGGTGCATTCATTATGCAAAACAATGCTGTAATGATGGATTATACATGATAGAGATATGGATTATATGAAACATGAGAGATGGATTTTATAAAAGGATTTATTAATACTAAAATACTAGTAATATTCAGCTACGAATATCTGTGTTGAATTATTCACTATTCAGGGCATACGAGTCGTCAAAGGAGGTGACCTGTACGAGGAACTCCAAGGCTAGCGGGCTGCTGTGGCACGTCCACTGGGTCAACCAAACCCGACGTTAGTGATGAGGCATTTAATAATAATAGCGGTTTCAGCGTTTAGTAGGCCGTAGGCCTGTCGCCGGTTCTTAACATCGCAGAACATTCACAGCATTTTGCGGTCTCGAACTCGCACCTCACTGCTACAATATGCTGTGCTTAACCGTCTGGCCTCCTTGCCGATTCTGACCAGAAACTGTCGCGCAGAGCTGGGATCGAACCCGTGCCTCTATGCTCCAATCTTGGTACTCTGAACTGTCACCGCTGGCCTTATTAGATTATTGTAAGATAATTGTTACGAGTATATAACAGCATAAGCACTGTCAATAATGCTCACGGAAAATAACAGGAAAGCTTCCCTGATTAATTTAAACTCAGAATGTAAATTCGTTGAAATGATGGTATATCTTACATGAATAAATAGTTACTGTAAAAATTTTGGTTCGATTGCCGTTGTAATTTACAGTAACTATTTATTCATGTAAGATATACCATCATTTCAACGAATTTACATTCTGAGTTTAAATTAATCAGGGAAGCTTTCCTGTTATTTTCCGTGAGCATTATTGACAATGATTATGCTGTTATATACTCGTAACTTGGAATTCAACTTGGTTTCGCTGACGCTGAACCTTATGAATCTCGTATAGTAAATGTTTATTCGTGAAAGTAATATTGAGCTCTTGGGCTTTAAAATGTTTACTGGCCGAGTGTTTAGATCATCAAAATTAGAGCAGCGACTTGGCGGCTCAAAACCCGCAACTTGTCAGAATTCTGGTCGAAATCGGCATATCGTCGGGTAGTAAGAAGTTGGTGACAGACCAACATAACCTAATCAAAGCTGAACGCTCTATATTAATGAACAATGAATTAAATTTAGAATTGTTCTAAATTAATCTCATGCATTTAATTTCCCTCATTTCTTTCTCGGAAAATTTGATTCGCCTCTCTCCCCTCGGCAGTGCCGCTAACCCAGCGTCCCGCTGAGCACGCCATGGGGCTGTGGGAGAAGATCCTGCAGCAACACGAGGCCATGTTCCTGGGCAACCAGGGCCTCAAACCCAAGAAAGAGGAGCTTGAGATGTCAGCGAGGCCCTGGATGTGGCCTCTCATGTACCGGGTAAGATGTGGCCTCTCATGTACCGGGTAAGATGTGGCCTCTCATGTAGCGGGAAAGATGTGGCCTCTCATGTACAGGGTAAGATGTGGCCTCTCATGTAGCGGGTAAGATGTGGCCTCTCATGTAGCGGGTAAGATGTGGCGTCTCATGTACCGGATGAGATGTGACTTCTCATGTAGCGGGTAAAATTTTTTATATACAAAAATCTCTTGATTTTTAAATGCATCGCTAATTAGGTGCAAGATTGCCATTTCATGCAGACTTGCAGTTTCGGGGCTCAAAGAAGAAATACAGTTAAAGATGAACAACATTTTCTCCCTGGGTGTTTCAAGTCCGAGTAAAAATAATTTTCAACTTTACAGCTTCAGGTGCTTGCAATTTACGACGAAGAAGACATCGCTAAGCACAAAAACCAAACTTTAAATTCAGCAAAATACAATGCGACCGAAAACACCGCAAAAATTTCAAGCAACGACACTGAGGAGCGAAATACGGACTCTCCTACAGCGAAAAGCTCCGAGCTCGCAGACAGAGATTCACGTACATTCAATGTCTCAAAATTCGATAACCTGGACTCGTCATCAATAAAAAATTTACCTACCGGAATACATAATCCTGATACGATTTTAGGGAACGTAACTGCCAACACATCGTTGATCCCGAACAATGTCTTGATCAAATCGACGCCCGACGAAGTTAAGAAGAAACGACCGGCTGGTAAAGAAATATTCGCGGTGTTTATGAACAACCCCGTGGTGGCATATACGAATCTGACGAGCTTCGTGTTAACGGTCCTGGTGATGGTATACCATCTCTACAAGTACCTCAGGGGCGACCAGGAACCTGAGGAAGTGTACCGTGAGTAACTGAGCTTAACTGTGCAAGTCAAAAAGTGTTTTGTATGGTATATCGCCGTTGAACTTACTGCAATGATTGTTCTTTTGATGATTCTGTAACTATATTTAATATTTAGCATGAATTTTTTTCGGTATAACATTTTTATCAGCCTTCATTGATTTGGTATCAAAAGTCATGCGAACGTTAGCTAAACGTTAGCTTTTTAGTTCAATTTGCGCTGCAAACAAATAATATTACGATCTTAACGTGCAATTAATACGCGTAAAAAAGGCAATAAATACGGCAGGGCGGCGTCACACGGCGGTGGTGGCGAGCGCGTGGCTTGTGGTGGCGTGGGCATTCCACTACCTGCCCTTCTTCACCATGAGCCGCATCCTCTACACACATCATTACTGCCCCGCCTTCCTCTACTCCTGCATGCTTACGGGTAACTCAAGTAGACGATGCACCATTACTGCCCCGCCTTCCTCTACTCCTGCATGCTCACGGGTAACTCAAGTAGACGATGCACCATTACTGCCCCGCCTTCCTCTACTCCTGCATGCTCACGGGTAACTCAAGTAGACGATGCACCATTACTGCCCCGCCTTCCTCTACTCCTGCATGCTCACGGGTAACTCAAGTAGAAGCTGCACTACTACTGCCCCGCTTTCCTCTACTCCTGCATGCTCACGGGTAACTCAAGTAGAAGATGCACTACTACTGCCCCGCTTTCCTCTACTCCTGCATGGTCACGGGTAGGACAAGTCAACGCGACGCCACTGCCACCTCGCAGAGAAGTAAAATTTTTGCATAACTTTCCATGAACCTTGAACTTTCAGTAGATGTTAAGTATATGATATTATCAATAGTTTCGGTACGTTTAACGAGACCGTGAAACTACCAATCATCTAGTAGCTTACAACCGTCCAGAACCTGCACCCATCGCATGGAATGGTACAGTGCACTAGTTTTGGTTACCTTAGCATACCCCAGGAAAAAAGCATCGTAAATACCTTGACGCACATCACAACGGGAACTGGTAGGCTCATTATATTACCCCAACCTTACGTACCCCCACTTAACGTACACTAAATTAACGTACCTTAACTTAACATACCCCCACTTAACGTACCCCAACTTAACATACCCCGACTTAACATGCCCTAACATACCCCAGGTGTGATGTTGGGGCACGTGAGCGAGGCGACGGCCGCGTGGCTGGCCCCCAGCAGGAAGGAGCTGTTGATGTCAGCGCTGCTGTGCGTGCCCGTGGCGGCGTTCCTCGTCTCCTACGTGCTGCTCTTCCCTCTCGCCACACACATAGAGGGCAGGTAAGTAACCTTAATTATTATAATTATNGCGTGCCCGTGGCTGCGTTCCTCGTCTCCTACGTGCAGCTCTTCCCTCTCGCCACGCACATCGAGGGCAGGTAAGTAACCCTAATTATTATAATTATATATAATAATTATTATAATCGTAAAATAAAACTACTAATATAAATAATATTACCCCACTATAGGGCACTACAGATAATATAATAATGTTAATTATAACGTACTAATTTATATGTTAAAAAGTTGTATTGATAAAAATTTTATTATCATATTTCACATAATTCAATTAATATAAATTTGAAACAATACAAATCTTCACAAAAAAATGTTCATTCGTATTTTTAAAAATAGTTTTTTTAAAAAGCCTTGGAATGTGGATTTGGTTTCCACATCAGCGTGAGTAGCTCGTATATAGGATTTCAATTTATCTTGAAAAATCGATTATTTCCACGAAAAAATATAACTATTTGTAAATAATTACGGTAGGGGAACTTGACCAAAATTTATCGACGTTTATCACTAATAGTATAATTGTACGTAAATACTCCTGTGGGAAGTTGTATAATAAATTCATTTGTGAATATAGAAAATATGTTAAGAAATTACGGTGGTGCCAAGGTTTGCAGACCGTCACCCCGAGCTGGGCCCCCGCCTGGACCTCCTCCACGCCGGGCAACTCTGGGCCGAACTCGGCTACAACGTCGACGCCATCGGCAACGCTGTGGCCGTTACACGCGTGAGTAACTCCAACGCTGTGGCTGTTACACGCGTGAGTAACTCCAACGCTGTGGCCGTTACACGCGTGAGTAACTCCAACGCTGTGGCTGTTACACGCGTGAGTAACTCCAACGCTGTGGCCGTTACACGCGTGAGTAACTCCAACGCTGTGGCTGTTACACGCGTGAGTAACTCCAACGCTGTGGCCGTTACACGCGTGAGTAACTCCAACGCTGTGGCTGTTACACGCGTGAGTAACTCCAACGCTGTGGCCGTTACACGCGTGAGTAACTCCAACGCTGTGGCTGTTACACGCGTGAGTAACTCCAACGCTGTGGCCGTTACACGCGTGAGTAACTCCAACGCTGTGGCTGTTACACGCGTGAGTAACTCCAACGCTGTGGCCGTTACACGCGTGAGTAACTCCAACGCTGTGGCTGTTACACGCGTGAGTAACTCCAACGCTGTGGCCGTTACACGCGTGAGTAACTCCAACGCTGTGGCTGTTACACGCGTGAGTAACTCCAACGCTGTGGCTGTTACACGCGTGAGTAACTCCAACGCTGTGGCTGTTACACGCGTGAGTAACTCCAACGCCTGTCTCTTATACACATCTAGATGTGTATAAGAGACAGGTAACTCTAGCGCGTGAGTAACTCCAGCGCGTGAGTAACTCCAGCGCGTGAGTAACTCCAGCGCGTGAGTAACTCCAGCGCGTGAGTAACTCCAGCTCGTGAGTAACTCCAGCGCGTGAGTATCTCCAGCGCGTGAGTAACTCCAGCGCGTGAGTAACTCCAGCTCGTGAGTAACTCCAGCGCGTGAGTATCTCCAGCTCGTGAGTAACTCCGTCTCGTGAGTATCCTGCTCTTTACGAATTTAATTCACTGGTTATATATAAAAGAACGCGAGACTTCATTGAGGGACATTTTAATTCATTTTAAATTTAAGCAATTTTCAACTGATATTCAGCATAGTTCTAGTTTGCTTAAAAAACATTTATCACGGAGCTTCGAAGTACAATGAAGTTTTATGGCAAAATGAAGAACTGGGAGGTGGGGGGAAATTCTGCTCAAAGTCTACGCATTTTGAGCCTAATATTTAAGTAACTTTGTAGGATTCATTCAATAATACATATTTAGTTTTATATAATATAATATTTCAATGGTAAATAAAACTACGATAAAAAATTTATTATCATTAAGTTATGATAAAAGGTGTTATAATTGGATACTGAAGATATTCCCTGACCATTTCAGATCTCCGAGCTGGAAGTGACGAACTGGAACAATTCTGACGTGAACGTCACTCTTTACTACGGCACTCCGTTGAACTCCAGGCCCGTAGCAGCGCCCGTTGTAGAGCCCGTCTCTGCCAGTAACTACTCTACATGGAGGACGTCGGCTGGCCTCCTAGAACGGGCCATCAACTTAACGGGCCCGGACAATAATTTGAAATTATGAGATGTTCTCACTTAATTGTTTTGACTATCTCGGGCTGGCACTTGCCGGTAACGATAGATACCTGTAATGATTTGGTAATTTCCTTACAGGGTTTACATGCAAGCGCATGGGCTACCTGCGACAACAGGTTACCTGTTTTAACTTTTACACTATTAAAAGTTTTATTTTAAATCATCATAAGTTGGCGAGTGCGGAAGTGGAAGTTGGCCTTGAAACTCAAATACGTCATTACCAGCGAAACTTTGGAGCTTTCCTTCTCCAACTCAGTTTTGCTATCTATGCTTTCTCACTTAAAATATTTTATGATGTCTGCAGTCAAACGGACTTGATTTTAGCAGTACGCTTTAAAAGGCTACTATAATGAGGTAGTGCCAATTCTAACGTAATGCCTTTTTTGAATAATTTTCAATATTTCGTATTAAATAAAATCTAAGTATAAATCTGTTCTAAATAAAATCTAAGTATAAATCTGTTCTAAATAAAATCTAAGTATAAATCTGTTCTAAATAAAATCTAAATATAAATCTGTTCTAAATAAAATATAATGTCGGCCACTGTTTATTTTCTCCCACAAGTACTGCGTGCTACAGATGGGCTTGATGCACAATTTGTACAGTGCAAACAATTCATATGATCATTTTATTTTCAGATCTCCGAGCTGGAAGTGACGAACTGGAACAATTCTGACGTGAACGTCACTCTTTACTACGGCACTCCGTTGAACTCCAGGCCCGTAGCCGCGCCCGTTGTAGAGCCCGTTTCTGCCAGTAACTACTCTACATGGAGGACGTCGGCTGGCCTCCTAGAACGGGCCATCAACTTAACGGGCCCGGACAATAATTTGAAATTATGAAATGTTCTCACTTAATTTTTTTGACTATCACGGGCTGGCACTTGCCGGTAACGATAGATACCTGTAATGATATAATAATTTCCTTACATGGTTTAAATGCAAGCGCATGGGTTACCTGCGACAACAGATCAATTTTGCATTTATAAGCTTGCTCACTTGAGATATTTGATTTTATTAGTATAAAACTGGATTTTATTAGTACGCTTCAAAAAGCTATTATAATGAGGTAGTGCCAATTCTAACGTAATGCCTTTTTTGAATAATTTTCAATATTTCGTACTAAATAAAATCTAAGTATAAATCTGTTCTAAATAAAATATAATGTCGGCCACTGCTTATTTTCTCCCACAAGTACTGCATGTACAGACGGGCTTGATGCACGATTTGTACAGGGTAAACAATCCATATGATCATTTTAGGGCTAAAATATCATCAAGGTACTCTAGTATCATCAATATCATTTTAGGGCTAAAATATCATCAAGGTACTCTAGTATCATCAATATCATTTTAGGGCTAAAATATCATCAAGGTACTCATGTATCATCAATATCTTTTTAGGGCTAAAATATCATCAAGGTACTCATGTATCATCAATATCTTTTTAGGGCTAAAATATCATCAAGTTACTCTAGTATCATCAATGTCATTTTAGGGCTAAAATATCATCAAGTTACTCTAGTATCATCAATGTCATTTTAGGGCTAAAATATCATCAAGTTACTCTAGTATTATCAATGTCATTTTAGGGCCAAAATATCATCAAGGTACTCTAGTATCAACAATATCATTTTAGGGCCAAAATATCATCAAGGTACTCTAGTGTCATCAATATCGTTGCATTTTTACTTCAAACATTAGTATTTTTCCTGGACGTCTTATTTATTAATGTGTTGGCACGACAGTTGCGCGGTGGACTAAGGCTGCGCTCAAATGATAAATCACAGCCTAAGACTATACGAAAATATTACAGATACTGAAATAAATTTATATTTCAAAGTAAATTAATTAAATAACGGTTTCAAAAATTGTTCACAAGGGGAAATGAGATATAAGTTAATCGGTACAACGTATATTTGCACACGATACAAATCAAATTACACGGTGCCAGTTTATGCTTTAATGCCAGTTTAGATTAGATTGATGTCACATCTAATGAATTGCTTCAAAATTTTTGGTCATTTCTTAACATTAAAATAAATTCAGGAATCAAGAGTCAAATTTCGAAATTATTTTAATTCATTTTGGTGTCGAAATTTTTCACTATAAAAAAAGATGAATGTACTCAGCGACCTCACGCTGACTACAGAATTGAATAATACATTAAAATTGATAATAACATATTTAAAATAATATAGTTTGCGATATCGTAGTGAGTAACACGCAATAAGGCTACACGCATCACACTCACATGTTAGTGTGTAAACACGCTCAATAATTATTTATTTTCACCTCATTATAAGCATATAGTAAGTCATTAGTTTAAAATTAAACATACTTGTTATGGCTCACACCCGTCACGGTCGCGTTAAGTACGGCCAACCTACGGCCAACTCATCTCTAAATAACTCATTGTAAGCTCACGGTGCTTTTGAAATTTAATTTTCAAGCCCGAAACTTGTGTTGAAATTGAAGACGAAATGATTATGGGTTGAACTTCACAAAGCTCTCAATTTAATTTGAATAATTTCATTCAATCACTGATTTGAATAATTTCATTATGTGTTGAACTGAGATGTTTCAATGTATGATTATGCATTACAATTTATAATAATCAATTTTCATGACTCTTTGAACTTATTTTTTCATGGTATAGAGGTTAAAAAAAATTTGCGTTTAAAAACTACTTTTTAAAGATCACACTTCTAAAGAGGCCGGTGTCTCTGATGTTACAAATGTACAATGAATTTCTTATTTTATTTTCAAATATTAAAAAAATCATATTTTCAAAGTTATTTATTAAATATTTAATTCTTTTTTATTCCGTGAATTGATTCAAGAAATGTTTACGATTTAACGCAAGTGTCCAAAATTTCAGATCGATTGGTTAGGTAGAAGTGTGTCAAATATCGATTATAAGATTTGTAGCAGACAGACAACAAGAATTGAAGGTAAATAGAAGTGTTGTAATAAAATAATCAGTACTATAATGACTAAAGTGTGCGTTAAAGTGGAAATACTTGTCGTCTTCAGGCAGGTTGTCAACCAGCATTTTACATGCATTTTGAGGGGCAACAAAATCGCGTTCAGTTAATTCTTGCACTACAGCAAATTTATTTCAGAAACTTTGAGAAACAAACTTGGGAACTTTCCCTTTCAGATGCACCCCTCTCGCCCCTCTACCCGACCAACTAACCGCACAGGAATTTTTTTAAATAAGTAAGTTTCTGTGGCGCACCCTGTATTAAAAAAATTAGGTTTTTAAAGTTATTTATTTAATATTTAATTATTTTTTATTCCGTGAATTGATTCAAGAATTGTTTACGACTTAACGCAAGTGTCCAAAATTTCAGATAGATTGGTCAGGTAGAAGTGTGTTAAATATCGATTATAAGATTTTTAGCAGACAGACAACAAGAATTGAAAGTAAATAGAAGTGTTGTAATAAAATAATCAGTACTATAATGACTAAAGTGTGCGTTAAAGTGGAAATACTTGTAAATTTGTTGATATTTCAGTGCATAAACTGTCAAGTTTAAAAATAAGTTTTAAAGAATTGTTGCGAACTTGATGCGTTCAGTGCGACACGTGAAGTTCAATTAACAGATTAGCAAATAGTGAATACAAATAAATATGAAAAACATAGAAGTCCAGGTAAATAAATGGAAACCAATTACCAAATTGTGAATGAAAAAACGCGATTAAGTGGGACTTGGTCAATCGGTATCCAGAAGTCCATTAATTAGTACATCAATAACGGCCCCTTACTTATTAATTAATACAGCATTTACGGCCCCTTACTCATTAGTTAATACAGCATTTACGGCCCCTTACTCATTAGTTAATACAGCATTAACGGCCCCTTACTTATTAGTTAATACAGCATTAACGGCCCCTTACTCATTAGTTAATACAGCATTAACG